AAGCTCACAGAGGTAAATAGTGATCGCTAAATTGTGAATGAAAAAATGTAAATTTATGGAAATACCTTGTTTTTGAAAGTAGCAAATCGTGGGAGGGTAGCGAAAACTGTTTCGAAAATAATTTTAGTGTTGATTAACTCAGTGTAAGCTAACAAAACCCTTACTGGACCTTAATTAACCTTATCGTTCAGAAAGAGCAAAATATGAATTGTAAATTTTATATATATATCTTAACCATTATAACTGGTTTGCTGGAAACGATTTTTTCAGGTATTGACACATAGAACGATCAAATATTTTTCCTTGTGGGAGTTATTTGACTCTAATCCAAGTGATTCAGCTCTGAACGTTTGCTAAGAAACTGGGGTTTTCTCTCAGTGAAAAGCAATGGCGCTGTGGGCACAATGAGAAAACATTGTATCAACATCCGTGGCTCCAGTCTGCTCAATATCATATCAGAAGATACCAAAAACACTGCTGGACAAGTGTAAACAAGTGCAGGTGCCAGATCAACCAGGCTGTGATGGATATGTGGGCCAGCGGGCTTCCAGTAGCAACAGCCTGGTTGCCCAGGCAAGCACCAGACACGCCTGGCTCAAGCCCGAGCTCCGGGGGTAGAAAATATCTCGAAACTCATCAAAAATATATCAAAGGCAATGTTACATGACAGAATGAATCTTAGTTTGAAGTGATTTATTATTAATAATGATATATATCGAAGCTCATTATCTATAACGAATGTTTTCATATGAAGTTTGATATTCCTCATGGATTAGAAATGTAAATCCGGTTTCAGATTACCATAAATCCTCCTTAGGTTGCTAATTTTACTGGACAGAGCATCAGGATGCATATACTAACTGGTTTACCGCTTAAGTTAGGAAAGGTTAGTCAGGAAACAAGACAAGTGTTTCCTGACGCGGGTCTTAATCATATATATATAACCCGCAGTTTTTGGTCATCTGACCGAGGTCTTTCGCTGGCTTACCGGTCCACCCCTTTAAAAATTATGGTTATAATTAGATCCATTAGACACTATTGTGTACCTGTAATTTGGTTTACTTCTTGATCACGTCGACAGTAATGAAAGAAAATACCACTGTATACCATTTATAGTGTGATACCGCTGACAGTATAACTACGACCCCTCACATAAAAAATTATATGTGGACTAGGCTGACAGACAGCAGCCATCTTGGGAGGTACGACCTTCCTTTTACATTTTAGTGAAACTGAAATCTATTAACTGTTGTACTGTAGCAAAATTGTTCTTTCTATCTCATGTACATGTAAGATGACAGATAAATGTCACAAACTTCTACGTACATTCAGTATGAACTTTCCTTGGGAAAGTGCGTTGAATACCTCTACCCGTAAGCCAGGACACTTGCTGAATATATTTGATAACGCTAATACTTAGAAGAAATAAATGAAATAGGGTTGTGTGAATATGAGAGGATGTAGCACCCAGGTCGGAAAACAGTGACTATAAAAATGTAGATAGAGAGAAACGATGTATAAGAAACGAAGCTAAAAGAGGTGGGCGAGCTTAATTAGGAAAGAAATGGCTTGGGAAAAAAAAGGTGGAGTGTCATTGATTGGTTCCAATATGTGTTGTGCGCCTGGAGATCACACTGCAGAGGAGAGATTCTCGAAGGTATTAAGTGCATGTTTTCAAAAAATTCGAGAAACCTAAATGTTAAAGTGCAAGAGTGTTGTAGAGCGTCCAGTGTTGAAGTTTGTTTTTCAAGGTATACAGTACATGGACAAGCCTTTAATTAAACGGTGAAGGCAATTAAGGGTGTCCCGTAGAGCGGTTGGTAACACACACTGGTCACATACTGAGGGTCAGTGGTTCGATCCCTTACACGGATGAAAACGTTAGGTATGTTTCCTTACACCTATTGCCCTTGTTCACCTAGCAGTAAGTACCAGCGTGTTAATCGACTGTTATGGGTCGTATCCTGGGGGAATGGGGGGCGGGTAGTATGCCTTAGATAGGGCTGGGCTTTAGAATGAGCTGAGGTGGGATAACAACTCTTAACCTGTAAAATTGATCTGTGTAAAGAAACCCGGATAAATAAGTATATGGCTTAAGACGAAGTAAACAAGGAGAGTAATTTACAAGACTTGGGAGACGAAAGCGTAGTGGATACGTCAGTAGGTTCTGAGCGAGTGATATTTGAGTAATTATGTAGTAGTGACTAGAACACAATAAGAAGTACAATAGAATACGAGGGGAATGATTTTGCTAAGTAAAACATATGTGAAGATGAAAGAAGACAGCAAGAGGTATAAAGAATTGTTTTAAGAAAAGTTAGAGTAAGAGAAAGTGACGAAGAGGATGATGTGATGTGACATCAACATGATATGCCATAGACGTGATATGACGTAGACGTGATGTGACGTAGAGGTGAGATTAACCACAAGTCTCTCGTTATAGAAATGAGGATGCAGGAAAATGAGTTAGTAAAAAAAGACGTGGTGACAAGGGTGATATAAAGAAAGCAGAGTCTGAAGACAAAAAAAAGGGTGAGGCAGTGAAAAAGACCAGCACAGTGAAAGTAGTTCGGTTAGTTATCAGGAAATTTTGCAAGAACAAAAATTTTAGCCTAATAAAAAAAGTCAAACCATTCTGGGAAGCAAATGTCAAAGTTAAGAGTAAAACAGACGAGATATTGGGAGGAAAAAAAAGCAGAGTGAATATTTTGAAGACTTGTTCAACGTATATGATACAAGAGAAGCAGATTTCATGCATGGTGCAGGAAGAAGTGGGATCTGTTTAGGAGCTGCGACACATGAATGTGTAGGAAGTGGTGGCTGAGGTAGCGAACAGGTTTAAAAGCGTAAATTATCAGGGATGGCTAGGATTAAGACTGAGATGCTGTGAGGATATATTCTTAGAATACTTGGTGCGTGTAAATATTGACGCAGGGAAAACTTACCTAGGAACCAGCAGAAAACACGCAGATTGTTTTTGAATTTACTTTTGATATATCTTTGATGAGTTCCAAGAGTTTTTGTACTCTCGCGGAGCCCGGTCATGGGCTAGGCTCGTCTGGTGTTTGCCTGGTCATCCAGGCTGTTGATGCTTGTGGTGGCCTGTTGCCCCACACATCCATCACAGCCGGGCTGATCTGGCACCTGGTCAAAATACTAGTCCAGTTTCCTGGTGAAGATTTCTACACTTGTCCCAGAAGTATTTCTGATATATTCTAGTATTCCAACACGATGCTTTTCATAATGCTAAAGTCTTTCAGCTTGTGTTGGGACGGGGTGGAAAAGTCTTTCAGCTTGTGTTGGGACGGGGTGGAAAAGTCTTTCAGCTTGTGTTGGGACGGGGTGGAAAAGTCTTTCAGCTTGTGTTGGGAGGGGTGGAAAAGTCTTTCAGCTTGTGTTGGGAGGGGTGGAAAAGGGAGTAAGAGCGTGCAAGAATGATAAGAGAATGATTATGTTAAGTATAACATAAATATGTGTCCGAACTGTTATATTAACATTAACACGCAAGTGTAAAGAGAAATACAGGGCATATAGGAAAGAAAATTAGTGCGTGAATCAAGTATTTATATTAATACATTAAAGCGAGTAGCACTTAGATAAGGGTCAGGAGCACTTCGTTGCATTAATGAATTTGGAAAAGGTTTGCGTTGGATATGTATGTATTAGATGTTATTAAAACTTATGAAGCTCTTTCCTAGGGAAGTGAGGCTCAGGTTAGAGTATGCAGAAAACAGAGGGAGCATCTTGTAGAAAAAATGGCCATTAGACAGAGGTGTGTGATATCACCACAGTTATTTAACTGAATTTTAACTTTAAGGTGCAGATGTGAATGTCTGAATGTTCAGTACACAAGATTTTGTACGTGGGTTGTTTGCACTGGAGAATACTGGGTGCTAGACACAGTATTCTTCATGTGGGTAGATTTATGCTACCGTACTGGAGCAGGATTAAGAGATGTCCCAGGTGCTAGTTTGCTAATGACGCAGTATTAGTAAAAGTTTCTGAAGAGAAGTTCAAGAAGTTCATGAAGGAGTTTGAGATGGTGTATAAATGAAGGAAATTGAGACAGAACATAGAAAAGAACACGATGATGGGTGTAACGTGTTGATAATAACAAAGTGTATACTTGTCAGTAGATGTGTCGATAGATTGGACTATGAAAGATGATGCAAGTCACAAAACGGATAAAAATATGGAGTTAGCTGAAAGACTGAGGAATCTGTAGAAAGAAGTTAATCACTGAATGTAAAAAACGGGAATGTATCACAAGGTAGTGGTGGCAACACTCTTGCATAGGTACGAAGCTTGGTCTTTGTATATCATAGCAATGGTGAAACTGGAGGTAGTAAAAATGTAACAAATGAGATCAGTGAGTTGTTTAAATATTATTCAGAGAATGAAGAGTAAAGAAATTCGAAGATGGAGTGAATGATATTATTCCAAGAGTATACACACTGTTGATGAGATGATTGTAATATTTAAAAGGATGAAGCGAGATTGAGCATGAATGTTTACAAATCTGAGGTGGATAGATGGAGAGGTATAAGGCGACCAAGGGAGGGTTGAGACGAGGCTTTGAGACGAAGAGGCTTGAGCATTCAGCAAAAATATATATATATATATATATATATATATATATATATATATATATATATATATATATATATATATATATATATATATATATATATATATATATAGCTCTACTCCTTTCTTGTTATAATCAGCACATCAGGAGCTTGCAACGTTGCAGAATAGAGCAGGATATCCTTGAATATCAGTTCATTTGACTGGCTCTTGCTCTCTCTCCATAATATATATATATATATATATATATATATATAATATATATATATATATATATATATATATATATATATATATATGATTGCAATTTGTAATTTACCATAAAATTTCACGATAGGGTTTTATCATAACCCAAATTAATAGGTGAATGAAATAGGTGAATTGAAACATAAATATATTTTGCCAATCATGAATATAACACAACAACTCTGATTGACTAGAACAGTCAAATATATAAAAATATAGCTAACATCATTTAAATAACGTGTTCTTTAGAGACCTAAATGCATCATTGAAGTATCAAGTATCCTCGGGACACTGACGCTGCGGATGCCCAGTTCTCTATGGGACGCCGTAAGCTGTCGAAGGTGCGGCGACAACACCACCAACACCACCAACACCACCAACACCAACACCGCCGTCTAGGAAGATGCTGTCGCTTCCTGATTTTAAGCCAGCACCTACGCCTCCTATTCCAGTGAGGCCAAGTCCACCGCCAATTCCACTGCCCAGTCCACTGCCCAATCCAACGCCCAGTCCACCGCCCAATCCACCGCCCAATCCACCGCCCAATCCAACTTCGCCTACAATAGTACCGCCATGGCCAATGCCACCTCCTAAGCCACTGACCAGGCCACCACCGATTCCAACATCACCTACAATGCCAACATCGCCTCCAATGCCGCCGGCAAGGACATCATCGTCGCCAACAAGACCAACACCACCACCAACGCCGATTCCGTCACCAACAATCTCGCCACCAGCATGAACTGCGGAATTGAGAGCAGTCTCCAGGTCGATGCCACCAGGAAGAACAGGGTTCTTGCCATCGTCGTAGTTGACGAAATACACTTGAGGGTTCCTTGGAGGCAGTCCAGGCACCTGGATGACCTTCTGGTCGTGATGAATTTGTTTGTTGAGCACATACACAATGTTGTCCTGTCTTGGTGGTGGGACGATGATAGGGTCAGGCTGCTTAACTGGTTCAGGAGCACGGATGAAGAGCACATTCGTGTCTACTTTTGGGGGTGGGATGATTGGTGGAGGGCCATAGACTGGTGGGAGCTCAGGAGCGGCATACACGTACACGTGGCGAGTGACTTTAGGGTAGTCGCAGGTACCGTCGATCTTCAAAACCTTGCCATCCTTGCAGCCTTCCACTAGTATATCTCCTCCGATAAAATTGGGGCCTTCGAAACCCAAACCTCCGCCCAGTCCAATATCATCGACAATGCCGCCACCTAGGCCACCACTTAGGCCAACACCTACTCCAACACCTAGACCACCGCCAACACCTAGGCCACCACCTAGGCCACCGCCATGGCCAACACCTATGCCACCGCCAAGGCCAACACCTAGGCCACCACCATGGCCAACACCTAGGCCGCCACCATGGCCAACACCTAGGCCGCCACCTAAGCCACCACCATGGCCAACACCTAGACCAATGCCATGGCCAACACCTAGGCCGCCACCTAGGCCACCACCATGGCCAACACCTAGACCAATGCCATGGCCGCCACCTAGGCCACCACCCAGGCCACCGCCACCACCTAGGCTATAACCTAGGCCACCGCCAATGCCAACATCACCGGCACTTGCGCCCGCAGCTAACGCGATGACCAAAACCTGCAGCAATAAGAACATAGTTTAGTAACTAGTACATGACCGTACTGAGAAATAAACCTGATGGTGTGATTAAAAACATCTCTTAAGCATTACGAGCAAATTACTATACAAGCTTAAAATATTATTACACTGCGCTATTATACACAAGTAGAGAGGGACAGACTCTTAAATAACACAACAAACAAAAGAGCGTCACTACTCACATGTACCGGGAAAGAAGGGGATACAAAAAGATACTAGAATACACATACACACAGATAAGTGTATGCTGAGATGATTATGAATACACATTATACACCCAGGCAATCATCACACAGAAAAAAACATTACAACATTCACTAGACCATACAAATATTACTATTATTTAACCATAAACCTTTACTAGGGCAATTATATTTACATGCTAGTAAATAAACATGCTAGTGAAAAAAGACATTCGCTAGGACATAAACGTGAACCAGAATAATCATAAACATTCACTAAGACACCTTTACACATTTATTAGGACAGACATTCACAAGGTCACAGCTATAAATACGCCAAAGCATTCCTTCAAATATGTAACAGAATGTTAATTATTAGCACATAAATAAGCATACATAAGGAATTTATGGAAGATAAATGCATCCTTGTGTCCGAAATACGTAGTCTATCCCTTGTTTGATTTTTTGGCAGTGTGACGTTCACCTCCTCATAAATGTTCGAATGTACACACACGGTGTAACACAAGTGTTCAGAGATGTTTATCTACCCAGAGGGTGTTCCAGGGGAGTCAACGACCCAACGGCCCGGTCCATGACCAGCAGTCGCAGCCTAAACTACTACTACGAAGTTGTGACGTTGACAACTGTCAAACGTCTAGACATCTATAACGTAAATTACCGCCACAGAGTTGGGTTAGACAAAGAGACCTGACCAGGAGTATAATACGTGTATAATATAGATATATTGTGTACCTGTTGTTTTTTGTGCCATCTTTCCTGCGGGTAGTTAGGTTAGGTAAAATTAGTCAGAAAACAGGACAAGTAGGGGCTCCTGACCTGGGTGTTAGTCATAAGTCAAATGATGATCCGCCACTGGAACTTTTGGTCATCTGACCAAAGCCTTTATCAGGCTTACCGGTTCAGCGGAAGGGCTTGGTCAGATTACCAGAAGTTTCAAAGTTTCAGGGCGGTCAATCTGCCTCCATCTAGGAACCTGACAACTGCTGAGTTGGCGTGAAAACCAAACTGGTTTTCATATGTCAAACAAACACAATGTCTATCTTGTCTTGCCCGACAAGGAAGCTTACACGAATAAAAAAGGTACCAGTTACTGTGAAGTGATTAGCAAATAGTATCCATGAGAATTTACTCGTGGCAATGTATTACAAGTGATACTGTAGAAAGGAGAGATGTGCTTGATGATACGCTGGGAGAAATGAGATTATTTTTGCATTCAGATTAGAAAGTAAGAGTATCCCTCTATGGGTCTTTAAATGGTTTCCTAGTATGGTCTTGACTTACGGACAGTTGCGGAATTCAAGAATGGTAGAGTAAGAGAGCGTAACCTGCAAGTATCACTCAGTTGGTCATCTAGTGCAACACCGTCTTAAACATCCACTTCAATTAAGATTTCAAACTGAAAACTGCACTTGAATATTTTCTGATACGAATAACTTAAGTGTATTGAACACTTGTCAGTGTTCAATAATAATCCACAGGGAGACAGAAACACGGAAGATTGACTGATCTGTATATTTCGACCCTCCCCCTTTTGGAATTCCTCAAGGCGGGTCAAAATGTACAGATCAATCAATCTTCCGTGTTTCTGTCTCCATGTGGGTTATTACTGAGCATATTCTAACATACTGAGCAAACACTGCGATATGATACGTCACTGAGTAGCGCTGACTGACATACACCGCCATGCAGCCCAGTGTAGGCTTGAATTTAACACATACATTTGAACGGACACTCGAGTACAGTCAGCGATATGCCCTGAACTCCACTTTATGATGCACTTGTCCATGGTTTTCGTAAGCATTTGGAGGCGCACTTGACCATGCAGGCATATCCTAAGTTGAGTAAGTATTGCAACACCTTTGATTGTTCACAGAGAAGTACCATCATCTTTTTCCCAATTTTATCCTAGGATATGTAGATGAGGGACATGCGACATAGCCAGGAATAGCGGGGCATGCAGTATAAGATATGTTGGGACATGCAACATATTAAGATATGGTAGGCGTGAAACATAGAAGGTATGATGGGACATCCAACATATCAAGATACATACAATGGGCACACAACATTTCAAGGTATAATGGGACATGTCACAGCATGATGGGACATGCAACATATCAAGGTATGATGGGCCATGCAACATATCAAGGTATGATGGACATGCAACATGTCACAGCATGATGGGACATGCAACATATCAAGTTATGATGGGTCATGCAACATATCAAGGTATGATGGGCTATGCAACATATTTAAGTATGATGGACATGCAACATATCAAGGTATGATGGGCCATACAAAATATTAAGGTATGAATGACATGCAATACATAAAGGTATGATGGGACACAAAACATATCAAGGTATAATGGGACATACAACATATCAAGGTATGATGGGACATGCAACCTATCAGGATATGTATGATGGACATGCAGCATATCAAGATATGATGTGCCATGGAACCTAAGGTATGGATGGGTATGCAACATTGCATGGCATTGTGGAACATGCAACATATCAAGATATGGCTGGACATGTCGCATATCAAAGTATGATGGGCATTGCATCTTAACATGGCATGGTGGCACATGTTGATTGGCTTGCAACATATCATGGTACGGATGGATATGCAACATATAATGAGATATTAAACATGGTGGGACGTGCAAAAATATGGTGAGACATGCTACATATCAAGGCAAGGTGAGGCTGTGCAACATATCCTGATGCGACGTGCAATATATAATCATTATGTATTATACACCTAACATGCTATGTAACTAAAGTACACTGTGACAAAGGACATAACACACACCAGACGTACACTGAGCATGCAGTGGTAATATATTGGTAATGAGGCAGGACAAACCATTGACAGTGTTTACAGTGGCCTAAGGACACATGTAATAACAAGTTTGGGTTAGTAAATGGTTAGGTTGCCGTCTTAAAGGACCTAATGAAGCCTTACTTTGACACAACGACGCATATACGACACAAAAGACCTTGATAACACAGAATGTTTACACCACGAGGACAGCATCTCTCAATGTTTATATACTATTAATTTAAGGCAGGATACACACACTGTAAGGCATATATCTCTTGATGTATGTATACTGAGAGGAAGCACATTAATTACCCTCGTGTAGCGATTAGCTATAAGCTCCATTATCAGGCAACTTACTCTTATTATAGGGTTAAGTACATATGCATACTTAAGTAGCGCAGCAGGTGAATTTTAGTCTTAATAATCCACTTGCATCGATAGGTGATGAATCTGTTAAACTCAATAACTAACACACACACACACACACACACACACACACACACACACACACACACACACACACACACACGACATTGCGTGATATAGGACCGGCACTAAATATGTACATTAACAAGGGTTTCCTTATTAGGGGGAATGGAGACAATAATGAACACTGCTCAGGCTATACTCACAGTAGCCTATATTACTTCCTAGGGGGTAAAAAAAAATTACACGAGTATAACACTGAAATATATAGTAAGGAAATACATATGCATGCAGTGTTAAGAAAATCGAAGACTGTAACTGATTCATGAATTAAGGTAGTTGGAAACACAGTGGGTGATGTAACCAGTCATACAGAGAAAAATGGATGCCCAGATGAGAAAGTAGACTGGGCGTGCCCACACGTGTTTTCCTTATTCTTATATCGGAAAGTAATGTCATTATCTGCAAACACACACACACAAATATGCATAGGCTATCAGAAATTATTTAGAATGTAAATTGCTGAAAATAAATATTGGATAGCATTGGGTTACATATAAATTAATCAAAAAAATATATATTTCAAGGTGATTTAAATGAACCACAGAGTTTAATTTGTCTGGAGGCCATGGAACCTCTGACACTCACTCCTCCGAGGTGGTAGTGAAAGTTGGCCGCCATGCCCAGTCATTACCATTTTTTATTTACCTTTTTCTTGATTTTGCTCGCATTGTCTCAGTGCTACAGTTGAATCTGAGTTTTTCTGCCCGTCTTTAAAATTCGTTTTACTCACATTTCCTGTTTTAGTGTTTCTGCATTTTTATATGAGGGATTTGCCTATATTATTATATCATTGAGTACAAATCAGTATCTGAATTTGGATTTTCTTACCACAGCTGCCTCATAATCGTCTCCCAGTGACTGAACTATTGAGTGGCCGCTAGCGCGTGTTGTTTAATCTCTTCCCTCTTTTTTTGCAGCTCAGAAAGCAGCAACTTCTAAGAAAATTCTACTATAGAAACTTCCCAGTAAGTGTTGTAGAGAGTATTATACCTTTAAATAAGTCTACTTTAACGTATTTGGAAGATTATGTCTCTTGATTAATATGCAATGCGAGAAGCAGTGTATGTACATAGAGGGTATATATATATATCAGTATAAATACACTAAGAGTTTGCATTAATCCCTATACAAGGGATTAAAAACATCCAAGAGTAGCAGGTGGCATACAGCCTTAATGACCTCTGTGTAGTTGGTTGGCTTTAAACCTAATAAACCGAATAACCCACTTTGACTAGTGCAGCTGTAATGGTCCCAGGAAGCTCATTAAGGAAGATTTTTTCCGGAATGTAGTTTGTTAGGTTTAAGATATCTCACCTGCACGAGGGTCATTAAGACTACGTTTCGCTCACATCAAGAATAATTTTTTCCCTCAAATGGGTATGAAGATAAACTCTCAGAGCATATACACTGATATACACCCCTTGGTGTATATACACTGATATACACCCCTCGGTGTATATACACTGATATACACCCCTCGGTGTATATACACTGATATACACCCCTCGGTGTATATACACTGATAAACACTCCTCGATGTATATACCCTCAAACTTGGAAATTGGCTACTTTATTAGGTTTAAAGCCATTCGATTTACAATATGTTACCAGTACACCGCCAAGGAAACTTTAATCCTTAAAATAAAGATGAAAACAAACTCCCGGTATATTTACGTTAATATATGTACATCTCTAGATGAATATACCCTGTGACCCGGAAGTGTCAGCTACAGTAATGGCTCGTATTCCCAGATAATCTACACACGACAATCCTAGCATTTTACGTTTTAAGTTGCGAAAAGCTATCCAAACGGTGACTAGCAATCCCCATACATGACTTGAGGTACTAGTATTTCGGACAACTTCTTGACTGCTGTACAAATGTATTATGAAGAACTAGGTGGTGTTGTCAGGGCAGTGCGAGGCGAACACTGACACCGTCTTCTATGATACTAAAAAACTGAACATTCCACCTTCTCGTCCTCAGGGTTGATCATGAAGCATTTGAGAGTTGACAGCACTTTTCCATAAAGTGCATGTGGCTAAAATTGCTAAGTCGTTGTTCGCCAAACGTGGATTTTTTTTATTTTCAATTCCGATGTAAAACCTTGAAAATCCTTTTTCCCCAAAATTAGAATAATTGGGATTAGAATCCGGCGGCCATAATTAGTGGCAGTGTAATAATTAAATAAAAAAAAAACTATGAGACCTGAAATTAATTCCCCATAATACCAGGATAATGTTTACGGGTACAGCCTGATGTGATACGAAGCCCGAGAAGAAAAACTAGGACGACGGCTGCTGTCCTTCCAAGTGCATTGAAACATTTTCGATAAATCTGCGCACAATTTTCAAATGCTACAAAAGCAGGGGTGAAGTCGTATGATGAACTGTAGAATATATGATTAACACTATTAGAAACACTTGAGGAACCGCCACTCACCAAGAACTGCATGGTGGGTTATGATGGTAGTGGAAGTAACAGCCACGCCTTATATACCTCACACTCTCTACTAACTGGTTCAGACCTCCAACCCCATGGACGCTCTCCCCGCCCCCCCTAACCAGAACACAGGTTTCTACACTGCTCGGGGAAACTGGACTCGAGCTTGACCCAGAGGCTGTATTACTCAATAGGCTGCAAGTCCAGCCTAGGTCACATTAAACCTAACTGAATAAACGGCGTCGCATGACCAGCCGGTTCGAGTCATTATCACCCAGTGACCTCTATATAAAGATGTAGTTAGTCAGGAATAAGGTCACAGCATCTGAAATGGCTACGATAGGTAATTTTATTTTTATTAAATATCCGCAAGATTTGAGGGACTATTATAGCTTGAGATTATTATTGATTATATTGTCCTGGGTCATGTTGGTCTTGTTGATAGCTGTTATCAGTTGCTTACATTACTGAATTACAATAATATTCAATTTACAGATATTCCCTTCAAGGAATCAAAGGCCCTTCAAGTGAAGGGCCTTTGATCCGGGGTATTGGATCTACACTCCACATGGATCAAACATGATTGCCTCAACTAACCAATCGCTGTATGACACCTAATAGTTTAGCATTTTCCCCAAACGTATGTATAGCAATAATACTGAAAATAAATTATAAAAAATAAATCAGTTACCCTTATATCATTTCGATATTTTAATACTTAAGCAAGAATTTCCTCTAATATACAAGTTTTTAAACGGGTGGACCAGTAAGCCAGCGGAAGGCCTCGGTCAGATGACCAAAAGCTCCAACTGCGGGTTATCATCTGACTAAAGACCCGCGTCAGGAAACACTTGTCCTGTTTCCTGACGAACCTTAAAGAACCATTAATATATAATTATAAAAACGGAAATATTTCAAAAGGAAAAGAATGGTAAATAATATACTATTAGATATTTATATAATCGCTTTATAGTGACCTTTATCAGCCTGAATGGATCAGATTACCAGGTCCAGTGTCAACAGTTCATTTTATTGATCGACACCATGCCTAACCCTTCTAGGGTAGGGTAGGTACCTGAGCCCGAGCCTTTAGCTCATAAGACTGTCATTCCCATTAGCCTCCTTGGGGCGGGGATGACAGACCAGAGAGGCCTAGCTTGTGGCTAGGCCTGGGGACAGTTGGTCCCAAAGATGAGGAGGTACTTGTGCCTCCTCCCATGGGAGACTTAGGTCTCAGACACTCCCTAAAGAGGGAGCCAAGGCCGGGCCACCACTTGGAAAAGGCCCGGGCCGGGAGAATACCGGCAAATATTTAATAAATAATAACAGTTCATTCTCAATGTTACGTATAAATAGTAGTGTATTTTCCCCTCAATGAGTACAAACTGAGAGGAAAAGTGTGCATACACTTAGTGAGTGGCCACTTTATTAGGTACACCTGTACACTTGTTTGTTAATACAAGTATCTAAACAGACAATCATGAACCTGTTGACCATGCAGACATGGTCAAGAAGTTCAGTTGTTGTTCAGACCAAATATCAGAGTGGGAAAGAAATGTGATCTGAGTGATTTTGACGGTGTGAATGATTGTTGGTGCCAGACGGAGTGGTTTAAATATCTCAGAAACTACTGATCTCCTGGGATTTTTACGCTTAACAGTCTCTAGAGTTTACAGAGAATTGTATGAAAAACACAAAACATGCAGTGGGCGAAAACGCTTTATTAATGAAAGAGAAGTGAATGGCGAGCTGGTTCGAGCTGACAGGAAGACGACAGTGATTCAAGTAACCATGCGTAACAACAGCGGTATACAGAACAAATTTGAACGCACAGCACATCAAACCTTGAAGTGGATGGGTGACAGCAGCAGACCACATCGGATTCCATTCTTGTCAACTAAGAACAGGAAGCTGAGCCTACAATGGGCACAGGCTCTCCAAAATGGACAGTTGAAGATTATGAAAATGTCGCATTGTCTGACGAATTGCAATTTTTGCTTCGACATGCACTTAGTAGGGTCGGAATTTGCGTAATCCTACGGGATGCCTTAGAACGAGCATTAACAGCCGACACTGAATATATATATATATATATATATATATATATATATATATATATATATATATATATATATATATATATATATATATATATATATATATATATAATATAATAAACATATATATATATATATATATATATATATATATATATATATATATATATATATACATACATATATATATATATATATATATATATATATATATATATATATATATATATATATATATATATATATATATATATATAATTTTTTTTAAATATAGGGAGGTACCACCTTTAGAAACTTCACTGGTACATGAAAGTGGCCGCCCTGGTGGTGTCGATGACTATGAAACCCAGTTCTTTAAGGAAACTTGTGGCGTTTTTCCCCCATGATTCCAAGGTCTCTGATCCAACTGGGACAAATTGATACTATTGGCCTATGTCTCTATACTTGCAAATTTTGTACTCCTCCCTGTGATCAGCAGCTGCTCTCTATCTTCCGACACTGTGATGGATGTGTCAGCCAGCGT